TAACATGAAAAGTGAGATTAAAAATCATCAAGACTTCTTTTGGTCTTCAAAAATAACCTGAAACAGGTTTCCAGAAGTTTTTGTCTTTTTTACATTTAGAGCTCATCTCTGTAGTTATTCTTGTTCTATTTTTATTATATTACTATTATTATTATTATTATTATTAATTATTCTTGGTTGTTTCCAAAGTGTGTATGTCTTTTCTCTACAAACACACATATTGTGTAGGATAATCCAGTTGACCTTTAAATAAGAACAAAATACTGAAGTCCTGTCTCACTTAGTTCCTGAGGTATATATTTCTAATCCCTATTTCCGATGCCACAACCCTAATATTAAACTCTGAGTTCCAAGTCTCATGAAGCCCTGACACCCATCTGCAATTGGCTATTAACTCATTTCAGTCTTTGTGTTATCTATATTCTACTGCCTGTAACACATCCTCTTCTACTCTCTCCTCTGATAGGGTGTTAGCACCTTGTCTTGGGCTTGGTAAAATAATCAGCTGTGGTACAATAACACCACTGCCTCAAGCATTGTTCAAATACAAATTTGGGAGGCTACCTGGAAAAAAGTAAGGTGAGGTCAGATTAAGGAAAACAAAGGGCACACCACATCCTGAGTGCACAGGAGAATCCTGTAGCCCCATTTACTGCCCCAAGCACTTTGGCTCTGAAGAGTGACAACATAAACCGTGTCACCCTGTGGTAATGGGAACAAAGTGAAGTCATAAATAAAGAATGAAGCAGTAAGAGTAAACATCACTGGGCCCAGGCAAGAACTCTTGATTCTACTCCTGGCATCTGCTACTAACTAGGTGACATGAACAAGCCTACAATCTCTTAGAGAATCAGCTTCATTAAATTAAGAGAATTGAGTTTGAGAGGATTGGATTAGATTAGCACTTCCTTAACTCCTAGAACATTTGTTCTTCTAGCAGTTAACAGGCATTCTGAAAACAGAAGATAAGCATTCTGCACAAAGAACTCAAGAGGCAAAAAATGCTGGACTATATACAGTCAAGCAGATCTTGCTGCAGAACCACCCAGTGACTTCTAGAAAAGACTGTATAGCATGTCTTCAAGTAAACAATGGACAATAATTTCTCTCCTTAATTTAAGCCAAGATGATAATTACACTTGATGTATTCATTTAAAAGTGTAGAACTCTTTTTGTTCCTCTTGAAAAGTTGTTGTATCATTAGTATATCTTACGAGAGATTCTCAAATATAATATGTATAAAGTCCCAAAACTTATTTTACTACAAAATTGTTTTAATAACCTATCATGAAATTAGGACTTAAGAAACAGATATCATCTTGTTCTACAGCCCATTATGAAGATATCATACTCTTCTTCAAACAAAGAATGATGATGAAATCAGGAAAAAGAAGAGGAGAAGCACTTCTGGAATGTGTATGTAGGGATGTCCAAAAATCTGTTCCTCTAAAAATCAATGAGAACATTAGCAAAAACAATTAGAGGCAACAGTTTTACATAGCAGGTACCTGAGGCAGTGATACCAATTGGCGCAAACAAGGTTTACAAAAAAAAAAAAAAAATGTTTAAAGAAAACCTCATGGATGAGACGCCCAAAAGAAGCTCTCAAAAGATATGATGAATCCCTGAGGATCTAGAAGTCCACCCATATGTATAGTACCATGCATCTGCTCAGGAAAAACCCAGAGCTTTATCAGCTTTTTGTGTTCAGGTATATGTTGAACCTACTAACTGAGGAGCCTATACTCAATTTCATTCCACATTTATTCCTTCAAATTTCAGCCTTCTTTCTCCATTCTCACATTTTACATGCAAATTTAACTTACAGATAGGAAAAGCAGCCTACAGTAATTGGGTCCAAAATCTAATAACACTATGGAGACAATTCTGAAAACACAACCCTCTGATTCATTGGCCTTCTCATTCCAGTAGTTCTCAATCTTTAGAATAATCAAGGTTCACCTGAGGGGTTTATTAAAAATGCAGAATTCAGAGTCTCATGCAGATTCTGATTCAATAGGTCTGAATGAAGCCAGGAATACAAGCATCGAGCAGTATCCTAGTAGATTGAAATATCTGTAATATGAGTATTTAACGACTTCACAATATAATCTGAGAGATTACAAATAAACATACTCCTAACATGCCTTTTTTAAAAATTGTGATTTATACTTTTAAACAAAAGCAGAATAAAGAAAAAAATCTACTTAATTAAGGGTTCTGCTTATCTTATTTACAATAAAAGTTTTTAAAGCTTCGCATTTAATGATTCAAGATATCTTTTCCTAAAAGGTGTCTTTTATAAAACTTATTTGAGCTGTCTTATTTTAAAATGATGCAATAAAAAATATGCACTACTACAAAGATCCTCATATTATTTGGAAACTTTCTGCTATGATAATTTTGTCTCAGGAGAAATGAGAAAATTCTGCAAAATTACCTAGGTATAATTTATAGAAAGCTGACTCAAGAAACAGGTGTTACTGTTGGAATGATGAATCTTGTCCTTTTCCTCACTCATAAAATTCTAATATACGAGCCTCTAGACTCTAAATCAGATGTTGGGTTCACATTTATTTATGTCATTAATTTTCTTTCACCGAGAAAATCAAGAGGTAGATGATCTATACATATCTTGCCAGCTGTTTTACACACCACATACATTGAGTACAAGTATATGTAGAGATGCTAGTGTCTCAGTGGCTTGCTCTATTTTACAATTGTCCCAGCACCTGAATGTTGGATGCCGTTCTTGAAAAATATTTGCATCTCTGTGCTGTGAGCTTGGCTACAATACTAGCTAGCATTCCATTTCCAGATGGCTCTTATTACTACCTAATTATTTTTAAAACCTGATTTTATTTCAAACAGTTTACCATTGTGAAGGGTCACCTCCAAGTACAACATTGCTGAAATCAAATATTTTTGGTTCTAGGTCTATGGCTAGGAGAGTTCAAGAATGGCCTTTTTTAGAGTGATTGATAGACCATATGGCAAAACCCATGGCTAAACTATAAATCCAATATTAAAATTTTTAAAACTATAAATAATTTTTATGACAATTAATCACAATTATTATTTATTTTACTTGTTTAAATTTCCAACTGTCTTGATAAATGAATTAGAAAGAATCAGAAAAATATATTCATTCATTATTCTGTATTTATTGAGGTCTTATTGTATATGTCAATATATAAACAAATACCTTCTCTCAAAAACTGTGTCCTAGTGGAAGAGGAAATTATTGCAACTTATCAAAATCTTGTGAAAGTATATGCAGAAAGGTAATATGATTAGAGGACAAGGGTTAAAGAAAGTTTTAGGGATTTTTTTTAATCTCCTTTGCATTATTAAGCTATTTTTTGGACTTTAATATTTATTAGAGGCATTGGATTTAAGGGATCAAATAAGTCTAAATTTGTGCATGGATTAAATACATTATTTTGATCTATTCTGTTCTTGCTTTTAAGGTTTAGTTCATTATAAGTTATAGCACACTCACAGAATTAACACACTGTGCACCCTATAAGGATGCTGTTTACCTCGACTTGCTCACTCTGGGTACCAGAGTGTGTTGATTCTGATAGAGCAAAATTATATAAATTGTATTTATTGAATACACATACACATTACCTTGAAGGCTTTTTTTAAACACAAAATTTATCAAGGCTTCAAAAGAATTTGGTAAAAATGACTGAATCCAAAGTGTAGAATGAATGTTCATGTATATTTAAATGTGTAGAGAGTAAGGAGAGAGTATAAGAGGGTTTGCATTTGTTTTCATAAAAGTTTTGGGTCACTATTAATTCTTTCTTACTTGGGGGAGTCCCTTCTTTGTATCCCATGCTTTTCCTAGACCATTTTACTCAGGATCCCTTGTATTGAACATTTTTAAAATATTCTCTTTATTTTTGTACTTGCTTAAAGTACAGATCACTTTGTGAGTCTTTATCAGCTGTTGTCTGAAGAAGGTGTTGTTTCCCTCCAAGAAAATCTGTAAAATGTCACCAAGTTATTCTCCTTTTCTGAATGTGCCAGCCAAGTGAAACATCAGCTCTATGCTTCCTCTTACCTGAGTGCTCTGCCTTTTGTCCCTTTCCTGGTTGTTGGCTCTGACCTCATAAGCCTACAGCTATGGAAATGGGATAAGAATATTTTTAAATGCCTTTTAACCCAGAATAGCAATTTCCTGGATCCCCCTGGGTGAGGAATCATAATGTTAGCTGTGTAACATAGTAGGTATTCCTAGTAGCTATGGCTTAGGGGAATCTTCAATTAATCACTTCACACCAATTATCATGAGAGCTACTTTACCATTTACAATTTTTATTTCTCTCTGCAGGCTACTGTTGATTTTAAAAAGTAAATTTTGGTATGTTACTTTGTTATTTTTATACAGCCCAGACTCCAACCTGTCATCTGGTTTGCTGAGCCCATATATCTGACAATGTCAGTAAGCCCCTGGGAAGCATGCACTATGTGATGCCAAAGCAGAGTAAGCCATCCTTTGTTATGATTATAATCTAAAGACTTAAATCAAGAGTTATATATTCTATTTCTCTTAAATACTATAATATAAATTTGTTTTGTGAGCTTGCGAGAGTTTCTATATTCATGCACTTATTCATTTAACCAATAGTGATAATTTCACATATAATAAATTATAAGATGATCCTCACATGCTTTAAAATTTATCATTGATCTAATTCCACAATATTTATAGAAGATTCACATTCCAAATGGACATTCTGTGCTGGTCTTCAGGAAGAATAATTCCTTCTTTTGATGTGTTACCTACCCTTCTTTGCAAAGTCAGTTTGCACCACAATGAAAACATGACTAAATCAAGATTTAACCTGAAGTAGAGCCTATCTTTACATGGTCTGCCTAAACAAGCCTGAATTTTTTGCAGGCATTTAATGTTGTGAAAGGGAAATACCTTTGTTGTGGATTTCCTTTGGCTAAGAGCAATTTGTCAATAAATAGCAATGTCTACTCACGTTTATCTTGCTCTGCTTCGACTCCTTCACTTTCTGTGTCACTTGGCAAGATCCATGGCTGATGAACTACTTGCAATTGCTTTAAGGATTCATCCTACCAAAGAAAGAGTTCATTCTGGATTAAACTCTAGATGGATATCATGAATACCAACATGGGTGAACACTTTTTAGTCTCTATGAATTACATGTCCAAAAAAAAAATGAAGAATAATAATTTCCTCACAACAGAGAAGAGTTATAAGTTTAAATCCATTTTCATGTCAAAGTCATGCCATAAACTCTGAACTCATTTTTTATATTCACCTTTTAATAAGATTTAATGTCTTAATAAGAGGAAATATCTAGACTCTGTTCCTTCCTGAATTAATATTTTTATGGAAATTGGCAAGCATGCTTAGAAATATAACAATGAAATATTCAATATAAAATTGCACAAAATGTGCCTGTTTGCTATCAAAGTTTCAAACTCCTTTTAATGAGAAAAAAAGATTAGTAGGATTTACAAAACATTCTCAACTTTACCTCTCAGTACTAATTTCACTGCCTTCTTCCTCTTACTTCCTTAACTTTACCTCTCAGTACTTATTTCACTGCCTTCTTCCTCTTCTCACTTCCTTATTTTTGTTAAAATATTTCTCATACTTCCTTCTTGCTCTATGCTTTCTGTCATTGCCCTAAAGCGGACCCTCATTTTCTCCCACCCTGACTGCAGTGATAGCCATCTATGATGTTCTCTAGGGTCAGGTTCCTTCCTAATTCTCCCCATCAGTTTCCTGCCAGAGTGGGCTTTTTAGATGCCATATAACATACTTATTACCACTTCATGATCTTCCAGGGGCTTCATAATTCTCAGGATAAAATCTAAACTCAAAGTTCCTTATGATCCATACTTGTCTACCCCAATATACCACCACTTCCATCTCCATCCCTCCTCAACTAACACTTCCACTCCAGCTACACTTAACTGGCAGTTCTCAAGTTGGTCATTCTGTCTGACATGCCAAGATGTTTTCACATGCTATAATTCCTGCCTACACTTATTTATCTGTCTCAGACATGAACACACTTCTCCCAAGGTTTAGATGTCATCTCTACTGAAAGCCTTCCTTGTGGAAGACAGAATTACTGCTCTACTCCTTTATGTGGCTATTATGCCAACGTAATAGTTACTGCACAGTAATTGCCCTTTCATATTCTCTTGCTTCAAAAATAATGTGGAAAGTTCCTAAGGGCATGCGTAACTTTCATCACCTCTAAATTTCAAATTTATTGAGCTGTGATGTAAGGAAATCTTTTCAAATATAATTTTAAAATTTTAAAATAAAACCAGTATGACCTGTCAATTTATTCCTTTGACGTCTCAAATCTATCATCTTCCCCCTCTTTCAATAATCTTTTTCTCCAACTTGAGGTATTTTGTTCATTTTGTTCAGACAAATACTAACAAGATAAAAATAAGTGCCCACAACTCCTGATTTTCTAAGAAAGATGATATTACCAAGTATTGAATGTCCACTTTGCTTGAAACGATTCTTGTATGAGAAAAACATCCTATTTGCTATCCCTTGATTGTGACAGTTACCTCTGGAGATGTTTAGTTCCAATATAGAGTTTCAAAAAGTTACAACTTTTTAGTTGTTTGGGAGGGGAATAAGAGATTGAATAGGTGAACCAGAGGGGATATTTTAAGGAAGTGAAAAAATTTTATATAATGGTAAATACAAAACACTAGCATTTGTCAAAATCTATAGAACTTCACACAACAATGTAAAACTTCGTGTATGCAAATGAAAAAAGTCAATTAGAAGGTTGGGGGATCACAATATGGAAGGCAAAATACTAAAAAGTGATCTAGATACATTACAGATGTATGAAATGTGATTGAAGGTGGTGGGGGTATAAGGTTCTAACCTAAGTAACTTTGAAAATGAGTGGCATCTGTAAAAGCAAAACCAAAAAGAACTGTGCACAAATACTGTATATGAATTGATAAATTGTTCCCTATGTACATACATGTTAACAATTCTGAAACTACTATACTTACATACTGGAATGGAACAATGAAATAAATGGATGACAGATGCTGGAAGCCAAATATTTCACTGTTTAAGTGGGAGTTAATAGAGAGCAAAGCTAGAGTGATTCATGTGTAATGTATTAGAATTGGAGACATTAGTATGAACTCATATTTAGCTTACTAAATATACAGAAGGCTACATACAGAAATATTTATGGATATTTATTATACATAGGTTACTATATACACATACATCTATCTGCTCTGGCAGCTGAGAGGGCTTAAAACAATGACATCCTCATAACAATGAACAAAACTATCACCCAGATCTTGGTTCCTAATACCATTCTCCAATGAAAGAACAAGAGCTCTTGAAGAAATGACTCATTCTAGGACTGAGGCAGGAAAGATACAAGATAAACCTGAAGCATCTTGTAGTGCCAGAAAGCAAGAAAGTGTTCACATACGCATGCACACACATACATACACACATGCATGCACACATGCAAACTCTCTCTCACATAAACATAATGAGGGATATATCAAAGGATTAAAGGAACCAACTGAAAAATCTACCAATGGCCAAAGTTAGCACAATTTATACAATAAAATAAATGAGGTAGCACTAGGTTACTATGCAATATAAAATAAATACCTGTGAGTCCATTCTGATAAAAATAAATTACTGACTAAATAAATTAATGGGTAAGAACAGATAAATATGCCATACAAAAGGATTTCAAATAATTTGTATAGATACTCTGCACCAAAGGAGGTGGAGAATAATTTCCCAACCCTTAAGTACACACTGTGTAGAATGACTTTCTACCAGAGTGCAATATGGAAAGGGAGGGCAAAAAAAGAGTAACTTTACCATGGAGAAACCTGACAAACCCCACCAAAAGTCAAGTGATTAAGGTCAACATCTATATCAATGATTCATGTTGGTCATGTATGCCCTTGGTAGGATATGATGAAAATGGAATCTGACCTCTATGGTTTTCCTCCTCAAAATACATCATCCCAGTCTAACTACAAGAAAAATACCATATAATCTCACCTGAAGAACAATCAACAAAATAGACACCCAATACACTTCAAAACTCTTACCATTATCAAACATAAGGGAAGTCTGAGAAATTGTCACAACCAAGAAAAGCCTAAAGATATAACTATGAAATGTAATATGATGACTTGGATGGGGTCTTGGGATAGAAAAAATACATTAGAAAAAAACCTGAGGAAGCTTGAATACAACATGGATTTAGTTACTAATAATGTATCAATACTGGTTTAGTAATTGTGACAAATATATCATACTAAGGTATTAAGGACAATTAAAACTGGATGAGAGGTCTATAGGAACTCTCTGTACTACCTTGTCAACAATTCTATAAACCTAAAACTGTTCTAAAATAAAAAGATTTAAAAAGTTAAAATAATCAAAATAGTATTTTTAAGTGATTTGCAATTTTAAAATAAAAGCACATTTTTTTTAGCACCAGCAACTCGAAAATCATCTGTTAATCAGATTAAAACTTAAATTCCAAAGAATAGTTCCTAAGAGTTTTCATCACAAGGAGAACATTTTTTTTAATTGTATCTATATGAGATGATGGATGTTAACAAAACCTCTTGTGATAATCATTTCATAATATATGTAAATCAAACCATCTTAAACTTACACAGTGATGTATTATTTCTCAATAACACTAGAAAAGAAAAAAAACAAAACAAAAAACTTTTATTTCTGTCATATGAGAGATAGGCTTTGCAGTGAAAAGTCCTTGCGTCAGGGGTTGAGAGTCACAGTTTCCTGTTTGTTTGTTTGTTTGTTTGTTTTGGTTTTTACTGTGGTTAATTTAAGGCATGTCACTTCTCTTGTGATGGAATGGAGTGCGTAAAGGTACTGGGTAGGATGATCTCTAGTATTTCACAAGTTGCAAATTTCTAGGTCTAGATTCTTTAGACAGCCAGTAGAATGTGTGAGACACTAGAAGGGCTATTGTAAGGAAAGTTAGCAAAGAAAAAATAAAGATAGTTAATCCTGGAATATACACTTTACATATAAATCAGTGTTTATTTTTAGAATTTAACTTATTTTTTTCTCAAATTGATCAATTATTGGATTTGGTCTTGCAGGGCCATGACTAAAGAAACAGCATAAATGCAAAAAAAAAAAAAAATGGAAGACATAATCTCTGGTATTTAAAAAAGAACTATGAAAAATAATAGCCTTTTTGGTTTTGTAAGTTAAAATCAAAATAACTAAATCTTACTCATTTAAAACATAAAATTTTAAAGTAACCATGAAAAATGTTTTTAATTTAAAAAGTATTTTGGTTGTTTACCTTTTGGGCCCAAATACTAAAACCTGTTTACATAAGAAAATATAAAGCTAATAAGTCATTTGTGTTACTTTTTCCCCACAATGGTTCAGAATACTAAGCAATCCTACTGACTGGTTTCCAGTTTTAATGGCTTTACTCCCGAACAGGTAATAAGCATCCAGTTATTCTTTTGTTTATTGCAAATTATGTAAAGTACAAAATGGAACATGAGCTCAGTAAAACATGTAGTTTGGAAAGAACTTTAAAAATCGCTGAGTTGTTGGAATTGTAGAGATAGTACAACTATTACTCTTAATAGATCATCTAAATGCTTTACTTCGTTTTTCCCTTAAATACAATTAGTAATATAATGCACCTGTTTGCTTCATCAATGCCTACAGGCAATAAAATGTATGTTCAAACTTGAGCTTGTAAAACTTTTTGATGGGGTCAAGAAGCTGAAATCTTGAACATTTTTTAAAAACAAGAGCTGACATGTTCATCTTTGCCAACTTATTCAAAAATTTTTCTACAGGAATATTAAACTAAATCTGAGCCTAGTACAAACTGTTTCAAAGCCCCAAGAGTAAGCTCTTGGGTTGCTTTTAGAAGAAATGCCATTCATCCTTTTTCTAAAACACTTTCACCGTAAGTATGTAAACATCCAAGGACGAGGAGTGGTGAGAAATAGTGACATGCATCACATGGAACACAGTTGCTAGCCCTGTATCAACATATCATTTTATC